AGGGAAAGTAAGGCTGTGTGAAATTGAATGGAAAACGTCAGCTCAACTCATCTGATTGTGGGAAAATTCTACTACCAGACCTTCATCACCTTCCACGAAATAGGGTGAATACATCTCATTAGAATGATTTACTGGTAGTCTCGAAACCCTACTCTTATACAAAGTGTGAATCGTTCTTGGGTTCTTACGGCTGGTGTGTTGTGGAGTTGTCAAAGTGTGTTTTAGAGTGATGCTCTTCATTTTTGGTGTTCAGATTGTTTAGATGTGCCTTGTGATGGTACCGTTGAGCGTTGTCATATTCTTGCAGTGTCTTGTTGTCTTGTGGTCTTCTAGTGACGTCGAGGTGTGGTGATGTGTTATCGTGTTCCGGTGTTCGTAATCTGGTGTTAAACAGCGACAGTGAGACGAGCCGCCGAACGGATAGTTGTGATGGCGTTGGCAACAAGGCCGGTCGACGAGGAAACCACGTACCGCCCGGACAGGGACTCGAGCCCGGGAAGTTGGGCCGATGAAATGGCACCGCTTGGCGCCATTGTTGCCACAGTCGATGGGCTCTGGCGCAGAGTGTGGCGTGTTGACGGTCTCGAGAAAACAGCAACACTTCCACCGAGACAGCAGACGTCTCGAGGCATCGGTACATCTCGCGGCCGTCAATAGCGCTCGCTGGCTCGGCTCGACGCCGCTTCTGCTGGTCGAGTCTGAGACAGCCGAAGCAACCCAAAAGTCAACCCATTTATAAACCCACACTCTTCCATATTTCCACGACGAGTGTCGACCAGACCGGAGACTGGCTGGAGTGTGTGGTCTTCTACATTTTGACAATATTCCCATCGAAGTGGCACTTCTTCCAGTTCTTACTCGGTCCTTTTTTTCGGTCGTCCCTTTGATGAAATGAAGTCGGGTCTTGTCGTTCGACCTCTGGCGCGTTGGTCTGCTCCCCAATTCTGGCCGACAGCAAACCGGCGCCTCGTAGACCCTGTCGCCCGAGCGAAGCCTCGTTTCCGCTCTGCCACTTTTCACGTTCACCAACCAGACCCGCCAGACCCACCAGACCCACCAGACACATCAGACACATCAGACACATCAGACACATCAGAACCGCCATACTTGCAGAGCGGAGAGACAATAGCGTTGCTCAAGCTGACCTTCAATTAACTTATTAGAAAAGTACTCCACAAAATAATTCTTGTAAACTGATGTGATATTGACTGTATCTCACGTCAATTGACACCATTTCACGACTTCACACACAATTAAACGCGAACAGAAAAACATAATTTCAATCAGTAGATCAACACATCTGCAATCCATCTATACACACTACGAAAGGCATATGCGTGTATATAGGACTGAAATGGGAAACATACGCGTGATGAATAGATTCATGAATTTGCAGAAAACGGAGCAGAATAAACAAGATAAGAGAAAAAAAGTTAAAAGAAAAGAAAATAGAAAATGAGATGTGAGAAGATTAGGTGAGATGAGAAGAGGTGAGATGATAAGAAAAGAGAAGAGAAGAGAAGAGAAGAGAAGAGAAGAGAAGAGAAGAGAAGAGAAGAGAAGAGAAGAG